AGAGCAGTCCGACATCCCTGACCTCGGACCGCTATATCTATGACCCAAATCCACATACTAGGGGTCCGAGGTTCCAAACCTCAAACCACTATGTAGCCTAGAGCCACACCACTACCAGTCCAAGGTCTTAGACCTCATAGAGCTATATCTGTGGCCTAAAGCCTCAATAGTAGCAACTTGAGGTCCTTGTCCTCAAACCGGTCCAAAAGTGACCAAAACCTTAGGTCACAACTCTATGTTCAATTAAAAAAGGGTGCAGTTCGCATACTGACGCCTTCGTAGGTGTAGAGGTGCAGTACCCTTCAAATTTTATCATGGTATGTAATTTTGATGTAAAATGTCATTAGGATTATTTCAAAATTTATTTTTATATCTAATCATAAAATTTTAAATTTAAAAAACGATTAAAATCAAGTAAATCTATAAACACATGAAAATCTTGAAAATGGACGGTGTAGATAATATGTTGTAAAATGCATTATTTCTGAGACTTAAAATCTTTTTATTTTCCATGGTCATACATCTCGATATCGAGATGAGCAATCAATGGGTTTTTCAACATTAAAACTACCTTTTTCGATAGATTTTTGAGGGTCATCCGTAGTTCTACATTAGAAGGTAGCATCTTTATATAAACTTTTTCCCTTAAACAAATATAATTAAAATCTGTCTGATATCGGTAACATCCGACCAAGAGGCAAACTTTGAAAAAATAAAAGAAACACAAAGGGGCCGAACTTGCGTGTAATATTTAGAAAAATATAGACCTTTACGTATCTCCCCATTAGTTTTCATGTCTGTACATTATTTTTCCTTATTTCTTTCATTCTTTTGAATATGGAGAGAGATTAAACTCGCCTGTAATGATCTGTAGAGTCTGGTTCCCGGTAGATTTATCGGTAGAGAGATTAAACCGGCGATGAACTCTCTGAATTGTTCCTTTAGAAATTCCATTTCTTCGCCCGGATCGAGGCTGATAAGTGCTTTCACTAGTACTTGAAATGCAATCTGAAATAAAATGAAATGAAATTTAACATAAATTTAACAATGCGAAGTTAATTACCAATAAAAAATAAAAAAATTAGGGGGAAGTTTTAGGCTTAGAGCCCAATTTATATGCAACTTTCATCTTTTATTACTTTCTATTTTCCTTTAGTGTTTTTTTTTCTAGGAGTCTAGACTCTAAGGTGTTCGAGGTTATTTTGGTGTTGAAAAACATCTAATTGATCGTCTCGATATTTTTTAAATCTTAAAAATAGTATATTTTACAACATATTATATAG